AATATGGAGAAACTTTATTTGCGCAGCTCTGGAGACCTTTCTAATTTTGTTGCTGCATTCAGATATAGAACTATTGGGAAACGGGATAAAAGTTCCCCTCTATTTGGAAGCGGGCAAAATGTAAAAACTATGAAAATAGCCCATGCACTATAAACCACCACCAAATTGAAATAAAATGGAGGAATCTCAGTTTTGCACAACTCAGCCATTATTGGTGCATTGACAGCAGCTACTTCATTGATAGAACAATAGTTTCCTAGACAAAAGAAAGGATTGTTCCATTCAATTCTCGGGTCAGAACTTACTGCCAAAATGCATATTGTATTTTTTAGAAGTGTTCAGAGAGTACTTGAAATATCAGGTGTATGGAAAACACATCCTATTCGAAAGGTAAGGAGTCATTGAAAAGGCTTAGCCTATAGAAGGGGAAAATGATGAATATTAGAGAAATCTTCTTGACCGTAAATATTTTTCAGTGGTGGGGACTAAACACTATGTGTTGATGGCTTTCCTTCATTGGAAGTCCATGGGCCGACTTTGGATAGCCACTTATGGAGTTTGTTCTAATTCAGAACTAGTTTTACTAGGGGAGAAAAGGCCCCCTCCAACCATAATTCTCTAAACAGGATACATCTCAGGGATGAAATCCAGGTTCTGACAGGTTCTGGAGAACCGGTAGCAGAAATTTTGAGTAGTTCGGAGAACCGGCAAATACCATCTCTGGCTGGACCTAGATTGGGGTGGGAATGGAGATTTTGCAGTATCCTTCCCCTGCCACGCCCACCAAGCCATGCCCATCAAGCCACATCACACCCACCAAGCCATGCCCACAGAACTGGTAGTAAAAAAATTTGGATTTCACCACTGGTACATCCTACAGGGGAATAAGATCCTCATGGACCAAGCAAATCTTCCTTCCCAAACTGTCAGGCCTATGAAGCATTTTGCTTGCTCTCTGTTCCAGTTGTGCAAGCAAAATAGGAACGACACCTTGAAAGGCGAATGCCTTGATGATGTGAGGGTGCCTTGGGGATGTGCTTTCTTGTTTCTGAAAATGAGATGTTTACAGCATTTTTAGACCCGAAACAATCTCAGTTTAGAAAAGGCCATCTGGACAGGATATCACCATTGTTCTGGGATTTAAGCAAAAACAAAACATAACCCCAAAACCAAACGTTTATTCCTTTGAATATTTGTTTTTCTGCAGTAGCTTTGTTGAACACATTGTCAAACGCTTTGGGTTTTTGTTTCTCCTGAGTGCTTGTACTTTTCTTTGATTCCCTTGCTGGTGATGATGAAACACTGGCTCCTCCTGGGTAAGTAATTGTATTCTCAGAGAATGAAACTTGTTAACATTTTAATAAGACACTCCGTCTATTTATAGAGTGGTGAAGGTAAGCAAGAAGACAAAAACAATAGTTAGACTGCATCAGAACCTTTCATCTTGACTGTAGTAGCTTCAGAGTCCCCTAGGCTTCTACAGTATCTGAAAAGCATCCCCTCAAGACAAAAGTATGTAAAGAATACACAGTGGATATATAAGAGTTCTCATTAGTATTCATGCCCATGTTTTTGGTGAGTAACTGAAATAAATATATTTCGCCACTTGCTGTAAGTAATTAGTTCTTCATTTGCTCCTGATCCAATGATCCAGAAATTATGAAGCAAGGCTTCAGCCTCTATTCTACCCTTTGAACTTTAGCAAAGGGACCAAAGGCAGTCTGTTTAAATAAGACTAGATTACAGAAGGTCAAGTGGTAAGTCTTCTCATATTAGAGAAAAAGCTTCCAAAAAGGAAGCTTTTTTGGTCTCACCAGAGCAAAAAGTTATGATGATGAACTGATTATGTTGCCACTTAAGCCCTGCCTTCACCATCTTAGCATGCTCTGGAATTCCCAGTCAATAAGGATCCAATAATCACTCCAGCTACACTAAGATAATCAAAGTTTCCTTTGAAACAAACAATGGAAAAACGTATTCCTGGTCATCTTTGGAAGGATTTGAAGATTTAAACCATAGTTATCAAGTTTTGTAAGCCCGGAATCTATTTTGGATATCCATTACTTGACATATGGGAATTGTTTTTAAAGAAAAGGAAGGCTAAGGCAGTGGTTTCCAATCTTTTCTTCACCATGGACCCCCTTCAAATATCTTTTGTAGCCATGGGCCATGGACATGGATCCCCCAAGACTTAACTCAAGATTTAAATCATAACATTCCTTCAAGCCTTTGAGGACCCTCCTGTGACAACATTGTGCCCCCACCCACCCACCAGGGGTCTGCGGACAACAGGTTGAGAACTACTGAGCTAACGGATTTCAATGACTGTGGAGGTTCTCAGCCATCAGGACCAGGATAGAGAGGACCATTGGTTTGAAAGAGGGGTAAAAAGGTAACTGTTTTAGTTCTGGCTGTGCACTGCCCTGAGTCCACTAGGAGAAGGGCGGTATACAAATTGAATAAAATAAATAAATAAATAAATAAATAAATGGATCCATATATGTTAGAATTGAACAGTCATCCCTCAATAGAGGGAGAGGAAGAAGACACCATCTATCTCCAGTCTACAATATAGCCAGGGGTGAAATGCTACCGATTTGCACAGGTTCGGGCAAACCGGTAGTCATAAAAGCTACCAGTTTGGGTGAACCGGTACTAAAAAAATGCTACTGGCTTGTCCGAACTGGTATTTCATGATGATCAGATGTGCCGCACGATTTGCTTTCTAGCAAATCTAAATCAAGTGGGAAACAGCTGTTCCCCTCTTGCTGTTCTGCTTACCTTCTTAAGCCTCCTTTTTCCGCACAAAGTGCGTGTTTGGTGCATACTGTGCATGCGCATGCACACAGCATGTGTTTGGTGCACACTGCGTATACACGCTCAGCGTGCGTTTGGCATGCACTGTGCATGCGCATGCACAGCGCATGTTTGGCGCGCACCACGCATGAGCAGGCAGTGAACCGGTGGCAAACCACGGAGCATTTCACCACCTGAATGTAGCCTTTGCAGCAGTTCTAAGAAGATTCCACAACCAATTGCACCCTGATTCAAGTGATCCTGAGGGCACAGATAAACTCACAAGTGGCCTCAAAAGCTCTCAGAAAGAGTGATAACAACCAGATGACTGTAAAGAAATACAATCCTTCCACCACCACCACCCATCATGTCAAAAACCTATCCTATTTCCCCACCATCACAACTGATGAAGTTCCTAGAATGAGAAGCAACATGTTTTCTTCTTCCTCCTTTTGAAAAAAACACCTTTGAGACAACTAAGGGATTTAAATGTCAGAAAGATAACACTGAATGTTGGGAGAAAGCATCCTAGAAGTGGGAACTATCTAAGAATTCCCCAGAAAGATTGTGGAGTCCCCTTAACCAATGTATTCAAGTAAACATCAGGCAGCCGTCAACCTCAGGAATTTAGATTCAGGTGTTGAATCTGATGGCTGAAATATTCCTGTCCAAATTTTTGACTCTATTCTATGAAGTCTTTCAAGTCTGACTCTCCTATGATTTCTCTTGAGAAATGCACTGGAATGGGAAATTTAATAATTCTTGAAGATGCCATCCAAAACATCTGAAAATTGTGGAAGAGTTTGTGCTGGACTTCATTTAGCCTAGCATTTAGCCTAGCCTTGTGATGTGGCAGGAGCTGAATGTGATACTTCGCCAACCAGGCTGGTGAATGGAAAAAGTATGTGTATCCAATGTTTTTCTTTTTCTTTTTTCATTCTAAGGGGATATCCAGCCAGAGAGGTCAAGTTTTATGAAGAAGGCTATAGTCTGCTTGGAGGATGATGTTATACAAATGATTATTGGCTTCGGTTTTTGCAGCGGTTGTAAAAATAGAAACAGTCTGTATATGGAAATTCTAGAGTTCCTGCAAATGTGGCCGTTCAAGAATTAAATTAAAGCTCTCTTTAAATGACTGTTGGCAGTGTTTAGTTGTCACTTTCTGGCACACTCCACATATTCAAAAAAGGCTAGGTTGTATCAGAACCTGATGTGGGTTGAAATTTTCTTCTATAGCAACATCTACACAGAAAACTCACCACAGGCTGAAAAACAGCATGGCCTAGCTGACTAATTAGAAGTTCTCTGGATAGAAGTGGGTCGTGTAACTACTAAGCCCACATTTCTCATGATTTTTAAAAGAGGAAAACATCTGTACTCAATTTAGAGTGAAGAGAAAGAATGTGATTGAGAAGTTCATTGTTAAATGTGTGTGTTTGTTATTATTCAAGCAATATATTTGACTGGGATCACGCATACTAAACTATGGTTTGATTGACCATGTTTTATTGAATAAAGCAAAATAGCCTGGCTTTGTATCACATGGAAAACCATGGTGAACGTGGCTGGGTTAATCCAAAGTATTAACTTAGAACAAAGCAAACCACATTATGTTTTGTAAATCAAAAGAACATGTTGTTTCCCTATGCTTAGACCAGGGGTGAAATCCAGCAGGTTCTGACAGGTTCTGGAGAACCGGTAGCGGACATTTTGAGCAGTTCAGAGAACTGGCAGCAGAAATTTTGAGTAGTTTGGAGAACTGGCAAATACCACCTCTGGCTGGCCCCAGAGTGAGGTGGGAATGGAGATTTTGCAATATCCTTCCCCCAGGAGTGGGGAGGAAATGGAGATTTTGCAGTATCTTTCCCCTGCCATGCCCCCAAGCCACGCCCATAGAACCGGTAGAAAAAAAAATTGGATATCACTACTGGCTTAGACCATTACAATCTTGTTCTTCTCTCAGCCTTCATCTCCCCTCCCCCTTATCTAACTTGAGAGAGAGAAAGAGGAGAAAATAAAGAGATTTGGTTAAGCAACAAAAGGCAGAGTATTTTATTTGTGATGTCAGAATTGCCTTAAGGATATGTTAGAATGTTAGCTATGTAAAATTTCAATGACTGCAGTGAAATATCTTGGTTCTACAGACCCAATGTATATCTTGTCATGCTCACTTATCTCCTTTTACTCCTGGGTATTTCAACTCCCCATATAAAGCACAGTTTGTTGTCAAGTTGCAATTATTATGAGGCAAAATACAAGCTAACGTCTGGGGAAGAAATGATGAACTGAAGCGAGCTGACAACCGCACTGAAGTGCCAGTAGATGGATCAGCACTTCAGGATTCCCCTCTGGACAAGGAGAGAACTTGTGTTCACCCACAAGTGCTCCAGACAGTTGCTTCTTGTGAGGAATGGAGGGGGGACTGCAAGATATTGATCTTTGGTAGGTTGAGAGCTCTGAGAGATGAGGAAATGCCATCTAAACCCAAATAGCAATCAGGGCTTTTATGGAACTAGGATTTGCATGCTTTCTTTTCTAAGGTTTCAGAATTGCCTATTAACTGCTTAACTCAACCTTTGGACCATCCGGTTTTACAGTACTGCATGAGTTTCCTTCAGTCAATGAGTTTTAAATACAAATTCAAGAACTTATATATTTTTTCCTGCAATAAACAGCAAAAGAAGTCTACCTACAAGACTGTCTGGAATAGCCAGATTTTAATGGCTTAAAAAAAAAAAAGCAGTATAGGCTGGCTGCTACTTTGATCTCAGTAGAAATGCTGTTCCAGAGAAGATGAACATTGCAGCTGAAAAGGCCATCTCCACCGTCCCAGGAGATGGCATTCCTAAATGGAAGGAATCTGGAGAAAAACAACCTTCCTGAACTTATTGTATGGGCAGAAATCCCTTAGGGTAGTATTTCTCAACCTTGGTAGCTTGAAGATGGGTGGACTTCAACTCCCAGAATCCCCCAGCTAGCAGCACTGGCTGGGGCATTCTGGGAGTTGAAGTCCACCCATCTTCAAGCTTCCAAGGTTGAGAAACACTGCCTTAGGGAAAGAGATCTGGAAGTAATCCAGATCCTAAGCTACAAAGGGCTCTAGAGGTCATAATCAGCACCTTGAATTGTGCCCAGTTAATGATTCACTTTAATTTCTGCTTTCTGATGTCTGAGCAGTTGCTTATCCATGTCATGTCCTTTAATCAGTTGCAGGAAGTGAACAAACCACCTCTAGCTCATCTATTTGATAGAGAAGATAAATATTTGCTTCTGATTTCTCCACTGATCCATGCAATGTGATCTATGTAATATGTATTCAAAACATAACTGTGTTAAATTACCATCAATTTCCCTGCTGTATAATTTAGACTGAGGTTCAAACAATAACAAAATGGTGCCATCTGCTGGGTACTGCAGCAGACTTTTAATTGTTTAATTGTTTCTGAGATGTTTTTGATGAGTACAGACGCACTGCAGCAACCCAGAATATTCAAAAAAAAGGAAACAGACTGCCTAACCAACATTTCCCAACAAAATAGATACCTACACAACTTTATCAAAAACTCTTTGATCACTGAACTCAATATGGTACAAACAACACAAGCTATGAAAGGGATTTATTGATAGATCAGTTAAACAAATTTATATAGCACCACGTAAGTGATTCTGGGCAGATTACAACATTAAAAAATCCACCACATAATGGAAACCCATAAAAAAAAAATCCCAACTCATCCCTGGCAGCAACGATACAATCAAATCATCACTTAATTTGTTCCATATCCATTTGTAGTCTCCAGGCCCACTGATGAAACCACATTTTTAGGGTCTTTTGGAAAAGCAATAGAGGGAGGACTAACTGTACTATATCTCGGGGGAATGATGTTCCATACAGAAAGGCCACCACTAGGAAGGACCTTTTTTTGTGATCCTATTAGATGTACATCCTTAATTGATGGGACCATAACATACTCTGTTAAGATAACATTACCATATACCAATAGTGTCTCAGAAACAACCAACGGACTATTACAACCAAATGGCATTATTATAGCACACAAACTTAATAAAGTCCTCCAAAACATATATATCTCATATATTTATAATTACCAAGGAGGAAACTACATTCCCACCAAAACTGGCAGGGCAAGTTATTGTATGTAAACAAGGAGCAAAGCTCACATTCAGTCGCACTAATGATGTTACCTAGTTGAGTAATAAAACACCTGCAAATAAACAACCAAGCTCAGAGAGAACCAAGGACTCCACAGCTCAACCCCCAGCTATAAATATTCTCTTCTATTGTAATATGGATTATCTCTAATTGTAGAATCTTTCTCCCTTTAAAATATGCAAGCCACTATGCCATTTCTAATGAGCCCTTCTCTTGTAAAGATTAAATTCAGATAAAGTGTGAAATGCTTTCACCATATTTATTAATGTGAACATACACTATGCCTAAATGTTACAGTTTGTTTTGGGCTACAACTATAGTGGTGTTTACCACTACAGTGCCATACAAGACTTGATCCCTGTACTTTTTAATATTTCTTTATCCATTTACATGGGAGGATTTTGCTAGGTAGAGTAGTAGTTTGGATAGGAGAAAATATTTTTGCTTCAGGATGAATTATGGGGTCTTTGGTGCTCTCTGAGCACCAGTTTCACAATACATGAACATGTTTAAACATAGTTTCAACTGTAGTCCCATGGCAACTGAAGGAGGGCAGGTTGGGCAATCCTAGATTAGAAGATGCTGCAATATCATTACTAACTTGTTTTGCGAAATAGCTCAATAGGGCAAATGAACTCAGTAATAGCAGAACTTTTACTTTCCGGCTAAGAAGACTTGAATTCAGAACCGTTTTATCAACATAAATCAATTATTTATTCTGTGCAGGATGTGCTAACAAATGTGGCCTCAGGGAGGCTCACTAAGAAAAGAAATGCTGCCATGTAGGAAGAAATCAGGCAGTTCTTGCTACGTCAGTGATAACCCTGCAAATGAAGTTGCAGGCAAAGATACCAGTTAAACAGACTATGCATTTGTCACAGTTGTACCTGCCAAGGACTGAATTATTTCAGACAAACAAAGCCAGCTGTTTCTTTTTCTTTGCAAACCTAGTTGTAGAGCCAGTGTGTGTATTATTGCACCAACTGGGCCATCATTGCTTGGGGAAAAAGAAAAAACCCAGTTATGCACTGCTAATTTATAAATATTTCTGTTGTACACTATAGGCACATGGCTGATGTCCTATAGCAGAAGAAAGAAGAGAGAGAGAGAGAAGAAAGAAAGAAGAGAGAGAGAGAGAAGAAAGAAAGAAGAAAGACAGACAGACAAAGAAAGAAAGAAAGAAAGAACAAAAAAGGAAGGAAGAAAGAAAGAAAGAAAGAAAGAAAGAAAGAAAGAAAGAAAGAAAGAAAGACAGACATGAAAACTCCAAATCATTTGGGTTTTCCTGGTGAATAAATGGTGAAAGGGGTAAGACTTGGTTGAGACTTTTGAAAAAGGGGCAGAATTTGTGAATGCTTATTTATGTGGCTGATATTGTAGGGAATAATTTCCCACAGCAGTTTTGGGAGGGGGCTGATGCAAAAAATTACCATATGAGCTGAGATTGTGCCCCTGTGGAGAAGGGACCATTGAAACAATAGCTCACGTCCTGCTATACAGCATCTTCTATAAGGACTCATGGACTCACCTTACCTAAACACCTTACCTAATAAAATATCTGGGAAATACTGATCTTTTTTTTACGTGCAACTACTGTTATCAAATCAGTATGAACTAGTACCGTGTTTCCCCAAAAATAAGACCCTGTCCTATATTTTCTTGAACCCTGAAATAAGCGCTTGGCCTTATTTACAGGGAGGTCTTATTATTTTGGGGCGCGTGGAGGAAACCAGAGGAAATGGCGGGGACCTGCTGTGCATGCATTTAAATATTTTCAGGGAGGGCTTATTTACGGAGGGGGGGGCTTATTTTAGCGCTCAAAAACCCAATTGGGCTTATTATCAGGGGATGTCTTATTTTAGGGGAAACAGGGTAGTTTCTCTGTATGTGGCCAAATTCTGCTATGCTGTATGTAAAATTAGGCAAAGTGGTTAATCCACCACCAATCACAATATATTATTCGGTTTGTCTGTCTGTCTTTTATTTTTATTTTTTACTGCTATTATTATGTTTTAATGCTTTCATTTGCTGGTCTGTGATCGTAATAAAGATTGACTGCAGGAAATAACAGGAGGAATATCTGCTAGAACTACAACCCTGAGTTCCTGAAGGAAAGACCAACTAGAATCTAACAAAGAAATAAATAAAGAACAGCGGAATCAAACCAAACTATTTACAGACTTGATGACGAACATCTATTGGTCTTCAGGCTAATAGTTTCCCATTCCTGCATATATAAATGTTTGAAAAATTGCCAAAAGATGAATATAACCATTAGTTAAATGAGATGGGAGGTTTTTTTAGGACTTGTTTTTTAACTTGTTGCAACCTGGTCTAAAATGCTTTGCCTTGTTTTTTTTTTTTTTTTTTAAATAGCTGAAACCATGGTTGATATTCATCATTCCCAGGGTGGCTGTTGGCCAGAAAAGCACTAAAACATCCCATGTTTTGTTTTGAGTTTTTGATTTAGTCTCTTTCTGCTTTTCAGCTAAGGATCAGAGAAAGCAAGGGTGATCTATCATGTTTGGTGGGTGATGGGAAAAGCATTCTGCATATTGATCACTCATCCTTTCAAGGAATTGCATTTCATTGTCATTACTCATCCAGAAAACAATATAGCCAAAGTGTCCTTGAAATGTTTCCTGATTTAATTCAAGCTGCTCTGTGAAGTCTATCAGAAACACGGTAATCAAAATAAAAAGATAAATGCGTGCTCATTATTTATCTCTTGGAGCAAGAGGCGGAAGAGATTGAAAGCCTGGATTGGTTTGATCCATCTGTTGCTGCTACCTGGCTTGCAAAACTGATTCTACGAGAGAGTGTTCAGATTAATGCTGGATTTTAGATATACAAGCATTGGAAAAAACAACCGACTCTGAGATACATTATCATGCACTTAGAATGGCATCAGTTTGGACGTGGCTGGCAGTGCTGACCTTTTGGAATTTGATTTAAACAGCTTATCAGTGCTGGATTTATTCCTTCCATGCTCGCTGCTTTGTCGATTTCTCACACTTTAAACACTGACAAGATTTCTGCCTTAATAATTAATGCCGCTTATCGGTGAAAGTCATCGGAAGGTATAGGTGACTGACTATGGACAGAGATACCAAAAGGCAGGCGAGTCTCTAAGTATTTTGTATACGTAAGAGGAAATTGTTCGTGAAGGCAGGCGAGCCTCTAAGTATTTTGTATACGTAAGTGGAAATTGTTTGTGAAGCTGTGTGTGGCTAAAATATACCTCCTGTTACCTACATGATCTGCTCCTGAAAGCCATTCTCTGCCCACACAACTCATACTGTTTTGTTTCACCTGGATCAAAGGTGTCAAACTCGATTTTATTGAGGGCCGCATGAGGGTTGTGTCTGACCTTGGGAGCCAGGTGGGGTGGCCAGGGTGGGTGTGGCCAGCTTGAAATCACTTGTGTCAGGGGCACCCCTCCCAGGCTCTGTTTTCAGCTGCGATGGCCTCCTGCAGCACTCTGCCAGTGAAAACAGAGATGGTGGGGGGCGCATGCAGCCCTCCCAGGCTCTGTTTTCACTGGCAGAGCGCTGCAGGAGGGCATCGCAGCTGAAAACAGAGCTTGGTAGGGTCATGCACGGCCCTCCCAAGCTCCGTTTTTGCTGGCAGAGGCACTATGGGCCAATCCTTTGCTGTTTCCAGGGTGGTCCCATGGGCCAAATCTAAGCACCCTGTGGGCCAGAATTGGCCTGCGGGCTTTGAGTTTGACACCCCTGACCTGGATTATTCTTGGAAGGTACATGGGTAAGTGAGAAGCAGAAGAGACTTTGCTCCAACTTCAGAGATCACGCACAGAAGGGCAAATGGGCATCCCTGTTTCACCCCCTCTTTCATGATGGTGTCTCAATCTAGTTTTTTTTCTTTAAATATTTTTTCTTTATTGCTTGATTGAATCTGAGTACTACTAGAATCAGGATGAACTTGCCACATTTTACAACATAATAAAAGATTCTGAACTGGAGAGAGTCCTTAGCAGTGGTGGGATTCAGCCAGTTTGCACCACTTCAGGAGAACCGGTTGTTAACTTCCTGAGCAGTTTGGTGAACTAGTTGTTGGAAGAAATCATTAGGGCAGAGAACCGGTTGTTAAATTATTTGAATCCCACCACTGGTCTTTAGCCTTTCTGAGCTTCTGGTTAAAACAATGTTTGGGACATCCAGGCCTTTCAAATTCCCTTTTAAAAATAATTAGGAATTGGAGTGTGATTTTACTTCTGAGCAAGACAAATTCTAGAATGAGATTGATGTTAGAGAGACAGATTTATGGAAACAGTCACAGCCTATCAATAGACCATAACTCTTGGTGTGAGATGGACATTCTGTCAAATATATCTAGTTCCCCAATGAAATAATCTTCGTTGCTGATCCAGTGTCTTTTATTGTTTTTAATTTTATTAAGAGATTTAATAGAAAATAAATAGATATAGAATAGTAAAATATAATAAGCACTGAAAAGGAAAAAATAGAGCGAATAAAAGGTGCAAGAATACAGAAAAGAAAGAAAAAATAGGAAGAGAGAAAAAATAGGAAGAGAGAAAAAAAGAAAAAACACACAAAGTGACTTCCCATCCTCATCACAAGTATATTCACTATCCTTTCATTTCCTCTTAATTAACAGATATAAAATTCTCCATCCCACAACTCAACTCTTAACTATTGTATAGGCAAATTGAATAAATAATCTCCTATGCAGGCATCACAATAGTTGAAAAGAGCCCCAAAATAATAACATTAATTAATAAATGTAAAAATCACCATTCCATATCTCAGCTCTTAACTGTAAACTATAAACTAATTCACAAGGCATTACAGTGGTCCAGTATCCTAATATAAATAAAAGGCTAAATTTAACATGAATAAAGGGACAACATCTCATTTAAAAAGAGCAAGCTCACAAAGATCCCTTACTTTAAAGAAAAAGACAATTAGATACTAAGCCAATTTAGATGCTGTCAGATTAGGATACATAAAGTGAACAAAGGGGAAAAGGTTTAAATGCTATATTACCTGTTGGCAAATCCGATACACAACATTTTTCCAGTCGAGATGTCACCAAGATGTCATCCAAAAAGACCTATCCAAAATAACATGTTCCATTTTAACCTTGATTGAATAAACCAATTATGTGTTCCTTCCTTTTGTCTAAAATGTTCTTACTCTTTAATCCATTCAGACGACTGTACATCCTTGTCTCAAATTTATTTATACTTTTAAAAAGCATCTTTTGTAAGTCCAGCAAGAAGAAATTATTCCAATTAGTCTCTGGGAGTTCTTACTTCCTTTTTAATTTTTAAAGCCTCATCTAATTTTTCTTGTATGTCTAATAAAAAAATCATATTCACTTTCTCAGATTTATTGCAAATCGTTTTTTATAACAGTTTCATTTGAAACTATCATTTCAGACTATTCCTAAGAAGAGACAACACAGCTGACATCAATGATTCAAAGTCCCGCTATAATTCCTTAAAACTGTTTCTGAACACATTATAAATTGCTTAACTTATTATGCTTCCAATATTGAAAATATTTTTTCTTTCCCACAAAACATTTATTTTTTTAGAATTAATCTCAAAGTCTATTAAGCTACTAGCTAAAATCAAATATTCCAATGTTTTCAGAATCCTTAATACGTTTAAACTTTCTATAGCTAAAACCTTGTCTTGCTTTTTGCTGTTTATTTTAAATTCTTAAAGCTTTTAAAGAAACACTTTCATTTTCTCATATTAAGGTTTAAGGACAACCCTCTCCCAGTGTTTCCAGCCTTGTCATTTTGAGGGTATCTAACCTCTTTAAAGTACTTAATAGGTAATTTCAGGAAAGTGATTAGTGAAGAAAGTACAAACTCGGTGTCCTTTGAAGGACTCTGGTTGCAGCTGGATGTCATATAGCAGTGGCCAATTCTCTCAGTTCCCAGTTCTCCCACCTTCTGGTAACTGTCTTACAATCTTCTCTTGAGAAACAGCCATATGGAGCATATCTTGGGCAATGTCATGTCCTCTCTTTGCCCAGAGAAGGTTGAAGGAACCAATCTGTTCATCGGCTCCCTGTTCTTAACTGTAATTGTTGGCTTTACTTACATGGAGCTGTCTTCAATCTGCTATTCTTCCCTGGAAGAACCATTGCTGTTTTTAGAGCCATTACAAAGATGCTTTCCATATTGTTCTGTTGCCACTTTTGCATAAAACCCATATGCACAATGACTCAGAATGAAAGCTTCTTTCCAAATAAAAGATCAAGGCAAGGCTGCATTCAGAAGATATCTTATGGGAATTCCTGCGATACTGGCTATTAAACCCCAAAGCATCAAATCCAAAAAAGGAGATTCTTTGGGGAACTCTAGTTCCCCATATTGAGGGAAGTGGGCCTAGTGCCTAAGGCCGTGATGGCGAACCTATGGCACGCGTGCCACAGGTGGCACACAGAGCCCTCTCTGCGGGCATGTAAGCCATTGCCCCAGCTCAGCTCAGCTCCGCTGCGCATGCATGTGCACCTCCCGCCAGCCAGTTGGTTTTTGGGTCTCTGCCGCGCATGCACAGGAGGCAGAGCACATGTG